TGATATATGGAGGTCAGGAAGAGCTTGCTGTAATTGGATACACTGATGCTAGCTTCCAGACAGATAAGGATGACTTTAGATCACAATCTGGTTATGTGTTTTGTTTAAATGGTGGCGCTGTGAGCTGGAAAAGTTCAAAGCAAGATACAGTTGCTGATTCTACAACCGAGGCTGAGTATATTGCTGCCTCAACTGCAGCAAAGGAAGCTGTTTGGATCAAGAAGTTCATTAGTGAACTTGGCATAGTCCATAGCATTGTGGATCCCATTGATCTCTATTGTGATAACAATGGTGCTATCGCACAAGCTAAGGAGCCTAGATCTCACCAACGATCCAAACACATACTTAGGCGTTATCATCTCATTCGAGAGATAATCGATCGGGGAGATGTGAAAATATGCAGAGTACCTACACTTGACAATGTTGCTGACCCATTAACAAAGCCTCTTGCGCAGCTGAAGCATGATGGACATACTAGATCTATGGGTATTAGGGGTATGCCTGATTGGCTCTAGTGCTAGTGGGAGATTGTTGGTGTAAGCCCTAGAGGCTAATACTTTTGGTACTTGTATCGAATTATTTATTAATAATAAAAGGCATTTCTTTATTATGTTTTCCAAAATAATAAAGTCCCTAGAATGGTTTATTGGTTTAATGAAATGTTAAGTGTGACTTAATCATGAGATCCCATTAAACATAAGAAACTATTCTTAAAGTATCCGTAGTCAAGCTTTAATGTGAAGTGGGATAACATTAAAGCATTAAGATTATTATGAAGATAGATTGATGATCACATCTCATGGATCATAGATAAGGAGTTATCAAGTCTTGACATAGGTATGAATATTAGGAGTAATATTTATACTGGATTGACCCGTTATGAGAATACTACATAGAATGTTATGCAAAGTGTCATAAGTTATTCTCATGATGATAATGGTGTATACCACCCTTCGACCTGAAACCACTATGGACCCTAGATGTAGAGTCAAGTACTTTATTGTTGATCAAACGTCATCCGTAACTGGATGACTATAAAGATGGTTGATGGGTACTTCACAAAGCATGCTAAGGGACATGAGTGACCTAGATGGAATTTGCTCATCCTGCATAACAGGATAAATGTCTAAGGGCCCAATATTGAACTGGACAAGGGTGACACAGTGTATGCCTTGTGTTCAATATAGACATGAGGGCAAAAGGGTAATTGTACAACACAAATATTATCACGGAAAAGGTTTGGTCAGATCACATGACATTTTCGTGACTTGGGTAACAGTGATGTGTTGCTAGATACCGCTCACTGTTTATTATATTAAATGTGTAATTTAATATAATTGTCAACGTCACGAAAACCTACAGGATCACACACATAAGGACAGGTTGATGAGAGATAGAATAAATAAGGAACACCGTAAGGTACGGTGCACTTAAGTGTAATACGGAAAGTGGTAAGGTACCACGTGGATAAGTGATATATGGTACATCATAAGGTATGATGTCCATAAGCTTAATTGGGCTTTTAGCTTATAGCCTTAATTGGGCTTTTAGCTTGTAGCCCACACGAGTGATTCTATAAATAGATCCCTTGTGATGAAGTTTTTTCACTTGATGCATTTTCATTTTTGACTCTCTCTCTCACTCAAGGTTTCCGTTCGTGATCAGCTAGCACTGTGACCGGAAGCGATCTGTTCGTGTGGACTGAGTAGAGGCGTTGCTCTTCATCAACGCTCGTGATCACGACATCAAAGGTCTGAATCGCCACAAGAGGTAAAACTTTCTATCACTGACCATGCTCATTCGTAAGGATCTCTAAAGGAAAATTTTATATTCTGCTGCGTTTTGATTGCAATTTTCCTTCACACACTAGAGGGGGTTCGATTAATTAAGTAAACTGTTGAATTCACAGTCTCGCCCCACAAATGAGATGGAACATTACCATCAATTAGGAGTGTTCTAGTAACTTCTAATATGTGTCTATTTTTCCTCTCGGCCACCCCATTTTGTTGGGGGGGAATAAGGACATGTTGTTTGATGCAAAATGCCCTTAGAGTTCAAAAAATCTTTTAATTCTTTCTTAAATTATTCCCCTCCATTGTCTGATCTAATTACCTTAATACATGTGTTAAATTGTGTTATTATCATTTGATGAAAGGAGTGAAGCACATCATACACATCACTTTTATGTTGTAGCAAATATACCCAGGTTACCCGTGTACAATCATCAACAAAACTAATAAACCATTTTTTTTCCATTATGTGTAGATTGTGGAGCAGGACCCCAAACATCCGTGTGTACTAAAGAGAAAGGAAAGACTGTTTTCTTATTACTCAAGGGAAAAATAGCACGATGACTTTTTGCCATAACACAAGTTTCACAAAGAAAATCTGAAATATTGCATTTATGAAATAACGATGGAAACAATTTTTTTAGATAACTAAAAGAGGGATGCCCCAATCGTCTATGCCATAGCCAAATATTTTTTTATTTTGATCTTGTATGTGATCACTTGCAAGATGAACCAATGCTCCTTTATGGATTTGTGAAACTTTTTCAAGATAATACAACCCTTCACTATATCTACCACTGCCAATCTTCTCCTTGGTATGTATATCCTGAAAAACACAGTGGGTTGGATAAAACACAGCGACACATGAATGTGATTTTGTTAATTTACTGACAGAGATAAGATTGCAATTCAAGGTAGGAACAAATAAGACATTAGGTATTGATAGGGAGGGTGATAGAGTCACTGTACCAACACCTTCAATGGGAGATTCCACTCCATTGGCAGTAATAATAACATTTTTATGACAATTAGGAGAGAAATTAGTAAACATGTGTTGATCACAAGTCATATGATCAGTAGCACCTGTATCGATTATCCAATCGTTATTTCTAATAATAACAGAAGGATTACGAGCAGAGTTAGACATACCTGACTTGGTTACGAAGCCGGCAGCAGTAGAAAGATGAGCCTTGCTGTTTTCTGTCTTATTATTCGAAGTAGTTTTTCCCTTTGGATGCCACTCCGGGTAGCCATGGAGCTTAAAACATGTATCCATGACATGATTATCTCCATTACAGTGATTACACTTACGGATTTCTTTCTTCGGATACTTCTTGACAGCTAAGGCAGAACCATTCGAAGACTCACTGCTTAGCATAGCTTCTTGGCGATTCGCCTCTGCACATACAATTGCATAGACTGATTGAACATTAGGAAGCGGAGTGGTAGCCAGAGCACGACCATGAACTCCATCCAAATGTGAATCCAAACCAGCCAATAAAACATAAACTCGTTGAGAATTAACCATCTTATTGTATTTCTCAACATCTTTAGTGCATTCCATGGTACAATTATTAATATTATCGTACTCTTGCCATAGCCTCTGCAATTTTCCAAAGTATGTAATAACAGATCCACCATTTTGTTGAGTAGAGATTACCTCATGATGCAATTGATAAGCTCTTGATGCATCTTGGTCGACGGAGTACGTTTGTTTCACAGTTTCCCAAATTTCATTCGCCGTAGCTAAGCGAATGAAAAGAGATCTGATTTCTTTGGTCATGGAGTCAAGAAGCCAAGACTTGACCAAGCAATTTTCATCTTCCCATGCTTCATATTCACCGGGTTTATCTTTTGCTGGTGCAGTCTTTGTTCCGGTAACGTAACCCCATCATTTTCTGCCTCTGATTTTGTTCTGTGCATTCAACGACCATTCGACGTAGTTAGTGCCGTCAAGCCGTTCTGGGGTGAGTGCATCGTTGAATTTGTAGGGGCAATTCCGAGGAGGGAACATTTTACTTGGGATACACCTTTGTGAGAGACACACCACTTATTCATCTAAAACCTTAAGGTAATATATGAGTCGGTTCTCTCATATATAAGTGCTCAATCTTCCCTTTTATAATCAATGTGGGACTTCTTCCTCACACTTGATTCTCAACACTCCCCCTCAAGTGTGAGTCACAATGCTCCCCCTCATGTGGAATGACTCTCTTCCACATACACTTGTACCATCGCTCGATACAAGTAAGCCGGTCCCTATCTCGAAACCAAAGGCTCTGATACCACTGTAGGGGCAATTCCGAGGAGGGAACATTTTACTTGGGATACACCTTTGTGAGAGACACACCACTTATTCATCTAAAACCTTAAGGTAATAGATGAGTGGGTTCTCTCATATATAAGTGCTCAATCTTCCCTTTTATAATCAATGTGGGACTTCTTCCTCACACTTGATTCTCAACACTCCCCCTCAAGTGTGAGTCACAATGCTCCCCCTCATGTGGAATGACTCTCTTCCACATACACTTGTACCATCGCTCGATACAAGTAAGTCGGTCCCTATCTCGAAACCAAAGGCTCTGATACCACTGTAGAGGCAATTCTGAGGAGGGAACATTTTACTTGGGACACACCTTTGTGAGAGACACACCACTTATTCATCTAAAACCTTAAGGTAATAGATGAGTGGGTTCTCTCATATATAAGTGCTCAATCTTCCCTTTTATAATCAATGTGGGACTTCTTCCTCACACTTGATTCTCAACAGAATTGGACAGTAGCGGAAGTTCCAGAATTCTCCGGTTTGTTTTTATCAGAAGCCATCAGAAATTACTAAGAAATAAAAAAACCCACCGTTCCTATATTGAAAGAGAGACTGTGTTGGCTCTAGATACCATATAGAACATTTCAAAGTAATAATTATGATGATTTTATTCATTGATCAAGATACTATATATACATAAAAGAGTCCCTATAATTCCTCTTCTATTAAGGGAATGAAATAAATTATTTACAGCACAAATATTTTCCTACTTACAACACAAATATTTTCCTACTTAATTTAGCTAAAATATCTTTGACTTATCTTAACAAAAAAAAAAAAATATATATATATATATATATATATATATATATATATATATATATATATATATATATATATATATATATATATATATATATATATATATATATATATATATATAATCAAAGTATTGGTATTGATTTAAAATCATCACTTACATGGTAGCCCTGAGAATTATTAGAATATTGCTTAAAATGATCTGTTTGTAACCTTGAAGATGAATTTGTAATAATTTGTGTCTTGTTGTAAATAGGCACTTTTCCCGGTGAGCATACATCCATAGTCTTACCAAAAGATGGTCTCCTTTGCATATCATTCTTTGCAAAGGTTGGGTAAAGCTACATAAATTGCAATGAATAGAAAATAAGATAATGTTCATTAATCGTGAATGAATATCATATGTTCAAAATTTGAAATAAGTAAATTAATACTTCCATATAAAACAAATAAATTTCACATGAATCATGATAACGAGTGCTGCAGAAACAATTTTTAAGGATTTTAAATAAAGAAATATATTTATAAAAATATTAATTATTTCAATTTCAAATGCATTGAATACAAATATTTTCATAAAACATTTTTTTTTATTACTTAGAAAACTCAATTATTTTTATTTTCAATGTATTAAATATAAATGTTTAAAATAAAAATTTTTAAGTTGTTAAAGAATTCCCGGAAACACTTATTAACATTTTGTTTAATCTTAAGACAATTATTAATTATACCTGAACTTTGTGATTTTTTAGTGAAGGGTGTTGTAGAGTAGGTTGCTTGTAGATATCCACACAAATAAAATCATTGTTCACTTGACGCTGCATCTGTTAAACTAAAATAATAATCAAGTAAATTATTTATACAATAAAATAAGAGGTTATAATAGATCACATACCATGGGACTACCAAATAGAGTGACATTAGTTTCTCCATTTATTAAAGTCTTGTTTCTAGCCTCAACATTGCAACATGTTATGCACAAAGTAAGAGCAAGAAAAACAATTAGATCCATCAAATTTTCAAAGTTACTTCACTAATATGTAATACTTATGTAATACTTATATAATACTTGTACAAGTATGTATACTCACCTATATATACTACAAATTAGAAGATAATAAAAAATAATATTAAAAATAAAAAAATAACAATATTATAATTTTTATTATTTTTATTGTTGGTCAAGCAATATGCATTAAACACTCTAGAAGATGGATTTATTATTTTGTGCATTCATTAACATTCTTCAAAAAAAATATTATAATACTATTATTTTGTGCATTTATTATAATAATATTTATAATATAATCATTTTGTACATTTATTATTATAATATTATTATTTTGTGCATTTATTAACATTCTTCAAAAAAATATTATAATATTATTTTGTTCATTTCTTATTAAAATATTATAATTTTTATTATTTTGTCCATTCATTAACATTCTTCAAGAAAATATTTATGAGATTTAATAAGAGACAAAAAGTTGGATTTATTTTTAATGACAAATAAAAAAAATAGACTTTATTTTAATACTTTTAAGATTATTAAAATCTTTTTAAAAACTTGACTTTTTTTCTCTCTAAATACTCACTTCTTCATTGTTATTCCATGTATCTATTAAACACATTTAAACAAAAATAATTATTCCCTCCGTCACATATTAGACATCGATTTTCATAATTTTTAAAATAATAATTAATTGTGTCAATTTTAAAGATAAAATGAGAATCATTTACTAAAATGATCTTATTAATAATAAATTTTAGAATAATTATATGAATTAAAATATAATAAATAAGGGTGAGTTAGTGAAAATAGATAATAAATATTACATTGATATTTTATGACCATAAATAATTTAACACAGATAAAAATAAGAAAGACAACACATATTGTGAGATTGACTGAGTATAAGATTTAAGAAGGAAAAATAATAATTTTTATTTTCTTTATTTTATATATACTCTTTTGTGTTGAAAACAATTTCAAATATACATGTTATTTACAATTTTTTATTAATAAAAGTAAGTAAAATAATTACGGGAGTTGAAATATAATAAAAATGATAAAAAAATTATAGAAAAAAATTAATAAACATTTCATTGATATTTTAAACAGATACTATTCCCTCCACTCTCAATTATGATTATTATATTTATCTTTAAGTTCAATGAGTAAATGATGTGTTTGAATTACATATAGATTAAATGTATTAATTATTTAATAAATTTAAAAAATTAAAATTTTTTTTATAAAAAGGAATTTCGTACTAATTTATAAATATAAAAAATGTAATATTTTACACTTATTAAAAGGTTTAAAATTTTGTGTCTTTTGTGAAATATGTTTTATGGGAGGGATGTAAAAATAATTTTGATTGGTTGTTGTTTATGAAAAAAATTACATAAAATAAATTAAATGTGATTTACATTTAGTTTTACCTTAAAAAATATACATTTTCTTAAAAAAAATGCTTAAATAAAATTAAGTTGATGTTTTATAGGTTATAATCTATTACAAGAAAAATAAGTATGTCTTGCTTATAAACGATTACATAAGAAATAATAAATAACAAAATAATTATTATGAGACAGAAAGAATATTTTTCAATTTATTACATTCATTAAATTTCGTCAAAAAGAATACTAATGAGATTTAACAAGAGAAAAAAAGAAACATTTATTTTGAATGACAAATAAAAAAGATTGAACTACTTTATTTTAATGCTTTTAAGATTATTAAAATGATTTTAAAAATTGACTATTTTTTCTCTCTAAATACTCACTTCTTCATTGTTATTTAACATGCATGTCTCTATTAAACACATTTAAACTAAAAGACTTATTCCCTCTATCTCATATAAAGCTCCTCTTCGACTTCTTTGAGATTTTCATAATTTTTAAAATAATAATTAATTGTATTGATATATTTTAATGATAAAACGAGAATCATTTATTAAAATAACCTTATTAACAATAGATTGTAGAATAGTTATATGAACTAAAATATAATAAGTAAATGTAAGTTAGTGAAAATAAATAATAAATATCACATGTTTTGCTATTTTGTAGTTTGAAAGATGTTTTAATTTGTTGTTTGAACATGTTGAATGAGATGTCCTAATCAGAAGTATAGGACATCAGGTCTTCTACAGCTGACATTTTGAATTCAGTTGTTGTGATTTAGTTTATGAATAATTTGGTAATATTTAGTAATCTTATGTGGCGTCCAAGATTGATAAATCAGAGATTTTATGTTGGTATTCAAGATATTAAATTTTTTAAATATTAAGACATTTTAGGAAAGTTTTGATTGAAGACCTACTTTCTTGGAGAAGTTCTTGCAGACTTTGTGCAGTCTCCTTGATGCGTTTTTTAGGCCCAAATCCAGTTGAGAAAAAGGGTTATAAATAGAAGCATTTGTAACTTAAATAAGTATCAGCTGAAAATGTAAAGTATCTATTATTAGGATTGAGTCTGTACCACTCTCTAGGAAAGTTGGTTGTGTGTTCCACTCGGTTGTGAGTTGGACTGATGTTATAGAGTTGTAGTCTCTATTATTGTTCTCACTCATAAGCCTTTAGATAATGAGTTGACTATTGTTCTTGGTCGAAATTTTTAAGCAAGACTAAGTATTTGTCATTGAAGTGTAATCTTCATTTAGGTGAAAGGTCGTCGATACAGTAATTGGATCTGAGACTGTTAAAGTTAAAATTGTTGTGTCTTTTTTGAAGTATGTTTTACGGGAGAGATGTAAAAACAATTTTGATTGGTTGTTGTTTATGGAAAAAATAAGAGAGAAAAAAAATTAAATGCAATTTACATTTAGTTTTATCTTGGAAAAGATACATCTTTTTTAGAATTTTTATTTTAAATAAAATAAAGTTGGTGTTTTTTTGCTTATAATAGCGGGTAGAAGCTGCCTTGTATGCCAATGTCACTAAACAAGTGGTTGCCCGATTCATAAAAAAAGAAATCATTTGTCGTTATGGAGTTCCTGAAAGAATCATTACTGATAATGGGTCGAATATCAATAACAAGATGATGAAAGAGTTATGCCAGAGCATCAAGATTCAACATCACAACTTTTCTCCATATCACCCAAAGATGAATGGTGTTGTTGAGGCAACTAACAAGAGCATAAAGAAGATTGTGAAAAAGATGGTGATAACGTATAATGATTGGCACGAGATGTTGCCTTTTGCTTTGCATGGCTACCATACTTCAATGCGTACTTGAACAGGGGCAACCCCTTTCTCTCTAGTGTACTGTATGGAAGAAGTCCTACCTGTGGAAGTAGAGATTCCCTCTTTGAGGGTCATGACAGATGTGAAGCTTGATGAAGCTAAGTGGGTCCAAACAAGATTTGATTAGTTTAATCTCATCGAAGAAAAGAGAATGTAAACCATTTTCCACGAGCACTTATATCAAAGAAGGATACATAAATCATTTTACCAGAAGGTTCGTCCTTGATACTTCCAAGTTGGTGACCAGGTGCTGAGAAAGATCCTGCCTATCCACACAAATCCCAGGGGCAAGCGGACCCCGAATTATGATGGACCATATGTTGTAAAGAAGGTTTTCTCTGGAAGAGCCTTGATGCTTACAACTATGGATGGTGAAGATTTCTCACTGTCTGTGAATGTAGACTCGATCAAAAAATACTTCACATGAATAAATAGACTCGCTAAGTTAAAAAACCGAAAGGGAGACTTAGGCAAAAATGGACATCCCGGAGGACCACAAAAAGATAAGGCCTGGGAAAAAATTAGGGATAAAAAATAAAAAATAAATCAAAAGAAATGAATAATCCGCTAAGTTGAAAACTCGAAAGGGCAACTTAGGCACAAAAAAAGGGTATCCTGGTGGACTGAAAACCCGAAAGGATGGTCCATGCAAAATTTAGGGATTTGAGAGTGAGAGGTTGCGGTCTGCATAAAATTTGTGGATCTCTCTATAACAGTTGGAAATCTCGAAGGGTAGGAATCAGTCCAATCACTCTTTTCAGAAAGCAGAGTATTGAGATATTTTAGGACATAAGGGTCATATCAGAATTGAAACTCGATGGAAATCAAGTTTTCTCATTTCTAATTTGTATTGTCTTTTTTTCTTTCTTGCACAATTACCTCTTTTAGGAATTGCTTCCTGTAATAACTGGTTTTAAAATGAAAGTCGTCACCCTTAATTTTTATCTTTAGGGAGGGAATATAAAAGATAACCCTAATTTGATCAGAGATTCTAAGTTGTATGACTCGTTTTAGACGAAGGGAAGGTGTTAGGCACCCCTCGTCTACATTGTTCACAAGGATACTAGGGTTTATATTTATGGTTTTTAAGAAATATGGTTTTAATTTATTAGTGGAACTCGCCACGATTTTAAGTCGTATGCCTATGTATCCTCTTATGAGGAATCAGAGTCTCAATTCGTAATTCGTAGTTGGTTGGTGTTTTTTATGGATTACAAATATATTTGAATTCTCCTTGAACCAAGTCTGGCTGTGTGAATGATTGAGTTGTTAGACGAAGTTCGCAGTCGATTAAAAATATTTTCATAGTCCTTTTTGAAAATAATCTTGAATTTTGAATTATATTAATGAAAAATTGATTTTTTGATGTTGGTTAGATATATTTTTTAAAATATTAAAGAATATTAGAAAATATGTTTTTAATTCATGATAAAAAGAATTTTAATACAATTTAAAATTAATTAAAAATAAATTAGTAAAAAGATTGAATTTTGAATTTAATAATAAAACAATTTTGGAATTTATGTAAATATAATAAATACAAAAAAGAGTTAATTATAAAATAAATAATAAAATATAGGATATAAAATAAAATTTTAATTGAAAGGTCAGGGGGTGTATTTTATGTTTGGTTAGTAACTTCAGGGGGTGTAAAAAGTAGGGCCCTGAATCCATATATTGGATTCAGGCCTAAACGCGGGAGGAGGTGCATATTTGAACATAAAAGCAAAATTCGGGGTACGTGAAGCAAGGGCCCAAGTTC